GATACTATCCAAGTTTTTAATTGCTTTTTGATATTCTTTGTGTTCTGTGTAAATGAAGAAATCATCTGCGTATTGTATAAGGTTGAAGGGTATGTTATTTATTTTAATATTGTACAAGTCCGCTACGTACATATTAAACAAGATAGGGCTCAATACAGAACCCTGAGGTAATCCTTTATTTACGATTCTGGGACCTATGAGCATTTGTTCTTTTCTTAAATAAACTAATCTGTTTAAGTATAGATTAACAATACTAGCGGCAAATTGGGCTGGAATTTGAAATATTCTTGTCATTTTTTCTTTAAGTGCTGTTAGACATACGGAGTCATAAGCACCTTCTATATCAAGAAATAATGCTGGTAAGTGATTGTTTCGGGAATAATTGTTTTGAATGTCTACAACTAGGGTAGCTAATGCATTCAAAGTACCAAAACCTTTCCTAAATCCGTATTGTTCTTTGGGTAGAAGGTTCTGGTCTAGTAACCAACATTCTAACCTAGCCTTAATTATCCTCTCTATTTTTGTACACATATTAATAAAGATATGGGTCTGTAAGCTTCAACTAATTTTAGATTTTTTCCATCTAATTATCTGATTAACAATATTTAGAAGTAACTCTTTTGCATTATTTGGTAAATTCAATAACATAACATATTTGATTTCATCATAACCAGGAGAAGTGTTGGGACGATCACTAAGGGCACAGTCCAATTCTAGCATTGTAAATAGTTTTAAGAGAAAATTACTATGATTCGGATTAAATAACATCAAATCTTCTAGTGGTAATGGAGCATTGACCATTTTCCTGTTCATCCTTTTCGCTTGATTCCAAATCGAGGTAGGCGACGTTTTTTTATTTAATTTTGAGCACCAATCAACCCAGCTTTGTTTGGCTTTCGATTTCAATAATTTCTTAGCGTGAGCACTAGCTTGTTTACATTTAATAAAATTTTCATTTGATGGATCTTGCTTGTATTTTATTAGTGCATTTTTCCTTTCTGCAACAATTAGATCACATTCTGCATCTCACCACGGCGAAGGAGTCCGTTTTTTACACTTAAAGGGTTTATATTGGCAAATACATTGTGAGGAAGCTTTATTGATACAGTCTAATAAAATATTATCTTTTTCTTCAGCATTTGGGGATATAGGTCCACTTTCATTTAACATATTCTCGATTATTTCAGCGTACATATCCCAATTGGCTTTCTTAATATTCCATTTACTTTTGGGGTATATGGTCTCATTAATAGCTCTTGAGTATTCGAGTTCTATTTTTACAACAAAGTGAATTGATCCAAGTGTATCAGAATCTACAGTATAAAATGTCTTAGCAAAAAATGGAAGGGGAACAAACCGTAATATCAATCATAGAATCTGAATGTCCTGGATTTCCTTGACAAGTAGGTTGACCGTTATTCATTACAATAAAATCAAGATCCTGTAGGGTCTCTTCAATTTGATCGCCAATATTATCATTTTTTGATGATCCCCAGAGCGCATTGTGGGCGTTTTTGGACATCTATATACAGAGAGAAAACTCAAGTGAGTATTATCGTAATTAATTTTAATACCACAGGAAAGCAGCTCTTTATTGAAGTTTTTATTTAATTTTAATATTTCAAAACGGATACCCGTTTTTACCAAAATAGCGACACCAGCAAAACCGTCTGCACGATCTTGACGAACAATATTATAACCTTTAAAATTATATACAACATTATTTTTGAACCAGGTTTCACTTAAAAGAACTATATCAACATCTTCTTTAGTAAGAAAATCGAGTAGGCTGTTTTTATTTGCAACAGCTGATATAGCGTTCAATAGCATAATTTGTAACGTTATAAACGTCACATCTATATCACTTTATATTTAAATAATTATTTCATTTTAATTTCTTTATTAATTTATTAATTTCTTTATTCTCAATTTAATTTTACTATTTTCATTTAAAAATAGTTGGCGCCCTTTATATTTCTTCCCCTGTTTTCATTTCTTCCTCTGTTATTATTTACTCTCTCTTTCTGTCACATAGAATAAATATTCGCCCTCTGTTTGTGTTCTGTGTTGACAGACAAGTTAGTTTCATGAAATAGCAACATCCTATGACATCTCTGCTAACTTCAAGTAGTTTCCCACTTTCTGTCAAAACAACTTCTAACGTGGTGGGATTATTTTTTGTCTCTTTAATCTTTATAAAAGGACAAAAATTATAATTAGACTCATTTTATGGTCTACAAATTCTCTTGGGGTAAGTACTTTCATTGTCATATTTATTATATAATTCTGACCGCATTTCCGATACTTGTAACCTTACTTTCTTTTCAAAGCACATTGTTTTTTTTTATATATGCATTAGGACTCTAACAGAATTTAACTAACAATCATAGTAACAATCATATTTCATTTTATCCTTGCTATTTCTGTAATTGTAACTTTGTAAGATGGCAAGGAAGTTAAACCTTTTTTTCTTGATGTGTGTCTAATGCAAACTAATCATTTTGTTTTAGTTTATCGGGAATATACCATTTCGTTGGGAATATTTAAAATTTTTATCAGCAATATACCATATTATTGGAAATATCTACATTTTATCATCTTACATCTAACCGTACGACCACATGAAACTGCAGCTCTCCAGAACTAGAACATTCCATTGGAGGACCTAGCAGCTTGGACACACAAGTAGCCCATCGAACAAAGCAATAAGTATTTCATCAATTGTTAAGCTTTGGCAGGGTCAATTATTGTGTTTTTATTCTTTTAAATAAATCTGTTTGGTTAAAATTTGTCTTATTTGCTATCAACTGAGAACTCAGGTTCAATCCCTATTTTAAGACAAGACGAACTCACCCTTGAGATAATGATCTAGGCAAGGTATAGACGATAAGCTCCCATGGTTGATTGAAGTATTATTTTCACAATATTACTTCAATTCTCTTTGGTAGTCTTATCGTTACAAAGTTTAAGTTTAGTGTTTAAGGCCATAAATTTAAGTACTTTTAAAAATATCCTCGAGAACAGTATGCAAACCTTTAGCTAACAAATTATTATCCAGTGTTTTTACATCCTCAACTGATTTGACATTTTTTATAAATTCGGAAAAAAAATTTACTAACGAAATAACTATCTTGTTTTTTTTTTTCACCATCTATTGAACTGTTACGTTTATTGGGATTAGGTGGTAGAGGTTGTAACGGACCAAATCTAAAAGGAAAGGTGGTAGAATCTGTAGGGGATTGTGAAACAGGAGTAGACACTTTCCTTTTTTTATGTGCATAATGTTCAGTATTAATCTTACTAGGTCCAGGATGAGTAAAGTTTGTTGATTTTTTCATATACGGTCTTGGAATGGTACGAAGAGATGACGTAATGTCATCAGATACGTTAGGTAGTTTTGGAAAATTTTCTTCAAGATTTGACAATATCGAAAATTCCGGTTCAGAGTACAACCCGATTGACGAAGAAGAATCTGATATAGAATATGAATGTAACAGTGATTCAAGCTTATTGGATGAAAATGCACGACAATCGGTAAAATCTAACGACCAGCAAAATAATGACGATGAATGGTACGAAGTTGACTGTACTTATTTACGTCTCGATATACAGTTTCGTAAATGTAATTTCGGTAATGAATCATATGTCTATGATGATAGGTATCCTCAAAATAGAACCGAACTAACTCCTTTTCATGTATACAGGAAACTGATCGATGATGAAATTTTACAACTTATTGTAGAGGAGACTAACAGAAATGCTGCGCAAGTAAAAAATGCACAACGTTGTAGCTATGTTATAAACTTACATTGCATTATTAACCATTTGTATGAATAAATATTGTTTTGTAAGCATTTTTCACTTTGGCACCTGGTGAACGTACCTAACACTCTTATGGTGGCAGCCAATGTGTTAATAATTACATGAAATAATACTCGACACATCCAATACAGTGTATGACGCCACAATTATGACGCACTGAAAAAAGGCTCTGAGAAGGACTATAGTTTTTAAATTATTAAACACAGGAGGAATGACTACTGAATTATTTGTGTGTACCATATTGGGTACAATCCGATTAAAAAAATATTGCGCCATCTCTTTATTCAACCTAAAGAGTTCTTTAAATCAAATATCTTCTAGTGAAAGGATTGCTATCATGGTTATTATATTAATGTGTATTAAACATGCCTACAATATTTTCACAATCTCAGTAAAATAAAATTTGCTACACTCCTAAATAAAAACCAAAAACAGTTAGAATGTCCTACACATAACCTTAATCTCCAAAATAAATAAATTTGCTGTCAACCTAATCTTAGAATTTAATAGGTCTCTAGAGGTAGAAACAAATGACTAAAATGATAGCATTTATGTGACAATGTCGATGTACGGAGTGCCAAAGATGTAGAATCGTGTCTATATGTAGTATACTATAATGGCACGGAGTCCCACAGCATATTGTTTTTCTATTTTTATTCTGTCATTTATTTTTCAGGTTCTTTGGTAGCTTCTTCAAACGCAAAACGGTCTTGTTCCCATTCTCCCCAAGAAACAGGAACACAAAGTTCATTTTCAGAGTTTTTGGAACCTTCTGAAGAATTTAGTAATGTTTATGAGATTAATAAACAAGTTATGACACCAACTTCTAAAAACAAACGAAGAAAAAGTTCCATTGTTTGGAACTATTTCAAACGTTCTTCTGACCGTCAATTAGCCAAGTGTAATACTTGTGGAAAGGAACATAAGACATGTGGAAATAAAAGTAACTTATCAGACCATTTGAAAAGGTTCCATCCAATAATAAACAATAGTGAGAATGAGATGGAAAAAACCCAAACTCAAAATTCATCTGCACTTGCTTCTACATCTAGTGGATGTGAAACTAATTCTTAGCTCGTTCAAGTGTTAGGTCAGTAAGTTCCTTTTTCAAAAGAGAAAATCATTATGATGCACAATCTACCAGAAAAAAAAAACAACTGGACAGGGCAGTGATACAAATGATTTGTTCAGATTTTCAACCATTCACTATAGTAAATGATCCTGGGTTCAAAAATTTGATCAATATACTAGACCCAAGATATATATTACCTAGCCCTTACACATTAAGTGGTAAGTTATTAAACCAATTTTATATCGATGTATATAATAACCTAAAAGATATATTACATAATGTTGATTATGTTGCACTAACATGTGATGGTTGGACTTCACGCTCAACAGAAGCCTATTTAACAGTCACTTGCCACTGTATATATAAATCTTATAATCTAAATTCTGCTGTTCTTTCAACTAAACCATTGACTAATGGTGTTAACCACACTTCGGAAAATATTGCTGAGTCATTGAAAGACATTTTAAAAGAGTAAGAGTGGAATTTAGACCATAAAGTATCGTGCGTAGTGACTGATAATGCCGCAAATACAGTATTGGAAGATTCAAAATGGAACATACGAATTATTAATACAATTATTAAGATCCCCTGACCTGCAATTACCCAGTGTAAATTTCAATATAACGTCGCGATGTCTTATAATTAATTCATTTGTTCGACTGGACTCCTTCTCCAGTCGATATTTTTCGACTGCTGCGCACGTGCGCACCTTAATAATACGACTAATAGTTGATTGTGTCGGTATTGGCCTATCTTCATACGCACAAGTAAATAAATTTATATCACGGTACGACTTGCCCCCATAATACCATTTTAAAATTTGTACTTTTTCTTTGTTTGTATACATGGTTTATGGTTAGAAACACTACTTTTATTTCAGCTTATGGCGTTATAATGAGAAGCAAAGTAAAGGGCATGTATTTGTTTTGCTCGGCCAGTGATGTTCCTTGGGACTGTTGCCAAATCGATAGATACCTTCGGCAAAAATCTGTAGATTTTGATGTATCATATAAATCCTTTTAAATTTTAAATTATCAACAATATTTGGAATAATAAATATATTAAACTATACACTAACCAATTCAAATAATATCTAATGAACACAAAAAAATTGTTATTAATAAAACATTGTTATTATCTGCACAAAAACACAGAAAATCAGTGGACGATAGACAACAGTGTCGACGTACATCTGTCGAATACGCTACATAGAAATCGCCAAGGAGTAGCAATCCAGTCGAACAAATGAATTAATTATAAGACATCGCGACGTTATATTGAAATTTACACTGGGTAATTGCAGGTCAGGGGATCTTAATAATTGGATTAATAATTCGTATGTTCCGTTTTGAATCTTCCAATACTGTATGTTGAAAGCATGTGATTTAATTCAAAAGCGCCATCTTCGATGCTATGCTCATACACTTAATTTGGTGGTACAAGATAATCTTGAATGTGTCCAAAATGTCATAAAAAAGTGTAAGAATATTGTTAGCTTTTTCAAAAGCAGTACAAATACCACGGGAATGTTTAAAAAGGAACAAACAACATCTGAGCCATATAAGCTTCTGCAGGAAGTTCCGACACGTTGGAACAGCACATTCTATATGATGACATTGCTGTATTGGCAGATATAGAGAGAGTTCTAATATGTTTTGATGATGCAACTAAGAAAATTTCAGATAAAATATTATTATATATTCAGCTGCAGTGTTTGTATTATTTTTTCTTTTCAGGTAGCAAGTATATAACTATTTCTTTAGTTATCCCTATAACATTTGGTATTTACAATGTTTTAACAGGTGCATTGTCTGAATTAACGACTGAAGAAGGCAAACATTTTTGTAATAAACTTATATAGTTTGTTTCCATATGAGTCTCGTACTATAACCAGAATAGGAACTCCACTTGATCCAAGATTCAAAAAGGAGGGTTTCCGGAATAATGAAAATGCAGCAGCTACTGCTGGAAGATGGAAGACGTTTAGAACAGGAGATGTTCTCTATTATGCAGAAACTGAAAAGACGGAAAAAGTCAGCAGTGCAGAATGACCTAGGTCCTTCCACTTCATCTTCAGTTGAGGAATCTATGTCTAGGGGCCTCTTTGGATTTTTAGAACAACGCAATGGAGAAAAAATAAAGATTGTGACAGCAGATATGATAATCACGAAGAGACATTATTACTGGAGTTCTGGACAGTGTCTCCGCGAACAAAACTGATGATTCAGATGCGGAAGCCACTCTTTATCCCGAGACTATGGAAAGTTAGTCGAGGCAACTCGAACAATATATAATAGATGCGGATTATGCCAATAAACTGTTAACGGTCGCAAACAATGAAAACCGGGAGACAGATCAGGTAAACAGCATAATAGATTTTGAAGCCATTGACTTGGAAATACACGTAAATAATTTAAATAATTTGAATACTTTACAGAGGCCCCTCAGGCAATCGAAAATATAGAATTAAATGCTAGTAACGGCACCTTTTTAACATGTATTAAAATACAATACAACAATGTCGAAACTGTTTTTGCATGTAATCAAAATAATTTGAATAATTTCACAGAGGCCCCTCATGCAATCCAAAATATAGAATTAAATGCTAGTAATAGCACTTTTTTAACATGTAATAAAATACAATATAATAACGTCGAGACTGCTTTTGCAAATAATCAAAAAATGTGTAAACGTCAACACACAAATAACTCAGACTCTAAGGAAGAAGAACTAAAAAAGAAAGCAAGAGAAAACAACGAAAAGAGTACGATGGCCGTAACAATACGGCTATTAACTGAAGAAGTAGCAGAGCTTAGGAAGGAGATAAGCAAACTACAAGAACTGATAAAAAGGAAAGACAAGCATAACAGCGACCTGACGAACCAAGTCCTTCAGATGTCCACTGCTATGCAGAACATGTATAACAGGAGGACAAAAAGACTGCAAAGCTCCAAATTGAAACAACTGGCTGCAATGTAGTGCCAGATACCCGTGTCAACGAAAAAGACAAAAAAGCCACCGAGGAAGAAAGAGCCAATAGAAACCACCGAGTAGAAACCTAAGCAAGGTAGGAGACAAAGGAAAAACAAAAACAAAAGTGCCAACAAAACGGCAATAAAGGAGGAGGAAAACAAACCTCAAGAGGAGACAAAGAACTCTCAGGAAAAGACAACTGTCAAAAAAAAGGGAACAAAACCGAAACAAGCCCAGAACGACAAAACCACGCAAAAAGTGGACAAAGAAAAAGCAGAGGAAGAGAAATAGAAAAAAGAATCCAGAAGATGCTCAAAACGCACAAAAAACGGAAGAAAAAGAAAAAGTGGCTCATAAAGCGACGAAAAAAAAATACTAAAATCGGTTGATTATAGCCAACAGATTTTAAAAATTGCAGCACAGGGATTTTAAAAATTGTAACTTCCGTCAATAAATATGCTAAATCTGGACGTAGCATTGTTATCCAGACAAAAGTATGAGTCGAAGTAGTAAAAATTTTTTTTAAAGCTCGCGTTAGAGTAGGCGAACATATTGGCCGATGGTAAGTAAATAAATCTTTTACAGCAACGTGTTATAGATAAATTTTGAACATATTTATCAAGTAAAATTAATTGATTGGTTGACTTACCTGTTAAAGAAGGATAATCATAATTGTCCTATCTTACATTTCGAACATTTGTACTAATGGTAGTGGTATTTTCTGGAGGTTGACCACAGTTTAAAGAAGAAAAATAAAAAAGAAGATATCCAGCTTCTTGACAGGTGACTAGGCGCAAATCACTGTTTTTTTTTGATCGCACAATAAACGGGTGCGTTCTAAAGAATCATTGGGGGGGGGCGTACAAATGTTCGAAATAATGTAAGATAGGACAATTATGATTGTCCTTCCTTAACAGGTAAGTCAACCAATCAATTAATTGTCCATCACATTACATTTCGAACATTTGTACTAATGGTAGGCTGTTGAAAGATTAGACAATATTGTGCGATATAAATAAACAAAATTATATTGCCATCCCCAAAAAATTAATAATTCACACATTTTATTTATTTTTTATTAGGAACTACAAAAGTGGATAACATATTACAACAATTAAGAGTAATGTTTATATTTTAAGTACATAATATGTGTACCTTTAACCAGGTACGAAAAAATAATAATAAGAAAATTAATGTTATGTCATAACCATAATCTACACATATAATTACAAAATTCATAACAGAATTAAACAACACCAAAATGTATATACAATTACATGGACTAACTAGATAATATAGTTTTTGTAAAGAGCCCGTAATCTTTTGCTTAAGGTTTATTATAAAAAACATTGAATACTTGAGAATTTTCTGTCCATCCTGCCGTCTCCCTAATAGTTTCTATATTTAATCCAGCCCTAGCCCCTGCTGAGGTAGAAGCATGCCGAACACTATACCCTTTAAAAATATTAGTGTCTACATTACATAATTTTAAAATATCTTTTAGCCATCTACTCAATGTCTGTGTAGATGCTGCTTTATATGTTTTTTTTTAGTTATAAACATCTGGTCTTCCAATTGAGGACGAATGTTTTTAGAAATCGCTAAATACTGGCATAAACTCGATGCTACACACAACTGTGGTTTTTCCTTAAAATATGGAAATCTTAAAACAGGTTGATTTTTATTTTTTTTTTTTTTTGACGAAGTTTTTATCCTATCTGGTATCAGAATCTCAATCTTATCTTGATCAATGAGAATATTTTGAATTTTTATTAGGGATATGGTTTGCAACCTGTGTGAAGTAAGAGCAATTAAAATTACAAGTTTGTAAGTAAGTTCCTTCATGGAAAGGCCTGTGAGAGGAAATAATGTTTCTAAATAAACTAATACTGGTTGAGAGTTCGAAGTAAATTGATATTTGGGCAATGAAGGTTTGAGGTTATATATACCTTTGTAAAATTTTTTTAAAAATGTTTTTATGATTTTCTAGAATATCTATTATCAACGCCAATGCAGCTCTGTGAATGTTTATAGAACTATAAGTGTAATCCTGATCTACTATAGATTTAATAAAATTAATAATATTTGATAATTCCTTAGCAAAAGGGTCTATATTTTTTTCTATACTATACCTCCACCATCTCTTGAAAACAGTATTATACAAATTTAGTGTTTTTGTTGTAATAGATGCAGTCATAATTGGGATGGAAACCTCAGGAATGCCTTTTCTTAAAAAAACTTGCCTGATAAACATGCAGCAACCAGGGTAAGATGTTGGTGTCCCGGATATGGAAGCCTAAAAGGGTTCGAGATTAAATTTTTATCAGGTCCTAAAATTATCTTTTTGCCTGATACCAGCTTATTAAAGGTTGGGTACCAAGGCTGACTTGGCCATTCTGGTACTACCACAATCCCTATGGCATTGTCACATATTATATTTTCTAAAACTAACTATAATAATAGACAACGGTGGAAAAGCATAAAATTTTAATCCCTGCCAATTTAGAGTGAATGCATCAACCTTTTCCGATCCGGGGTCAGGTTTCCAAGACACATACCTTATACATTTTTTGTTAAGATGTGTGGCAAACAAATCTATATCTGGAATATGAAGCTGCTCAAAAATTATATTAACACAATTATAACTTAAAGAATACTCTGTTTCTATTTTTAAAGAACTTGACTCTGAATCAGCAATAATATTTTCTTTTGTACTGATATAAGATGCAAATATTCTTAAATTTCTGTTTTCACAATATAGCCAAATTTCTCTAGAGATGCTATTTAGGTTAGAGTACTGCACACTCCCCATCTTGTTAATACAAGACACCGCTGTTGTATTATCTATTCTTAGCAAAATGTTACAATTTCTATATCCCTTGGAAAAGGATTTCACGCTATTATATGCTGCCAGTAACTCAAGAGCATTTATATGTAGTTTCTGCTGTTCATAACTCCAAAAACCATGAGTTTTGTTATCATTACAGCATGCCCCCAGGCTAAAAGAGATGCGTCACAAAATATTTCAAGTACATAATTTGATTGTTTTATATTTTGCTTACTAATTGGTATGTTATTTAAACACCAATTGCAATCGTTTTCCAAGTATTTAGGTATGGTCATTTTAGTGTTATAACTATTAGTTTTAGTAAGAGCAAGCCACTTTTCTCTTTCTAAATTTTTCAAGTATAATTTACCATATTTAACTGAAGACAAATCGCTAATAACTGGCTGATTAAAGCTGGAAATGATCTTATCCTCTACATGTACTTTTATTTTTGATTGTTTGAATTCTATTAACCATTTTTTTGTCAGGAGGAGCAAAATATAATATTTCTCTGGAATCAAATGTAAAACCAAGAAAAGTTATACTTTGCATGGATGAAAAGTATGCTTTTTTTCTTTATGTTTGACAGAAGTAAAACCTACTGTTCTTAGATTATTTAGAGCTGATTTCAAAGTCTTTGTAAATATAAAAGGCGAGGTATTCAAACCAAATAGTAAGCATTTAAAATGATACAGAATATTTTTGTACTCAAAATTAAAATATTTTTTTTTTTAAATTTTCATGAACAGGTATAGCAAAATAGTCATCTTTTAAATCTACCTTTGCCATAAAACAACCCTTGAAAATGAGCTTAAGGACTGACCTATAGTCTTCCAGATTAAAATGTGGGGCTTCTATAAAGCAGTTTAATTGTTTTAAATTCAAAACAAATCTGTGACTCCCATCCTTTTTGGGCACTAGAAAATATGAAGAAAGAAATTGCCCTTGTGTATATGAAGAGGGAGAAATAGCTCCTTTCTCAAGTAATTGTTTTATAGCTAAGTTAAATGACTCATTTGGGACTATTACCTGCTAATTTCTTATTTACCTTCAATATGACCTCTTGGTTATTCTGCTCTGGTCCTGGTACTGCTGCATGTTCAACTGCTTGTATCTTGATGTTGGTTGCAGGCGATTTGGGTACTGGCTTTGTCGAAATCTCGATCTGTTCGAGGCTGGATTGTAGTTTAAACGCTGCTGATTGAAGTTGCTAGATTCTGCAAGAACTCTTGTTGGCTGTTGAGCTAAAATAGGAGCTTAGCGTTGAGGGACAGTCCTAGGGTAAAAATTTGATGTTTGTGGCTTCATAGTAGAGCTGGCCTGAAAGGCTGCCGATTTTGTGTCCTTGCTCTCTTTCAACCTTTCAACCAAATTCTCTCCATATAAATATTTATCTATAGTTTGCTCATCTAATAATTTCTTAAATTTTGAATTTAATGAAGAACTGAGCAAAAACCTCTGTGCAAGGACATCTTATAAAACACCTCTATATTAAGGTTTATGGAGTTGGCACTTGTTTTGATACTCCTATTTTCATTTAATCCCAATTCGACCTCTTTATAAAGAGCCATAATACTTGCCGCTAAAATTGTTTGCATGGATTGCAAGTACTTATTTTCCCTAATTTTACTTTTATCTTTTATTGCAGATAAGATCTCAGGATTTAACTGAGGTGGGCAAAGTCTCTCGCAGTTTGTAGCAGGTGGGAATTTTGCTGTAAGCTTACCCACAATGGTTTTGTATAATATTATTTTGACCTTCAGTTTGCCTCTCCTCATCTAAAATTCAATGAATAAAAAGGACTTTAATATTTTTGACAATACCAAAAAAAAATTTAGTATTGAAGATAAAATAGTATGTACAAAAGTAATTAAATAAATTCTATTTCTTTTCTAAACTTTTGGGCTACTGTAAAGTACCTATGAGAAATGGGAGCAGGTCAAATAATCATAAAGATTTACTGGGCTACTAAAAAGTACCCGCTGCTCTAGTTTTTGTTAGGGCGTTAATTATTTATTCTACCTTATTAAGCGAGAACTAGTATTAAGAAAGTAAGAACTAGCCTAGTTCTCAATGATACGTCTTGCGCGGCACAACCTATAATTGAAGATCTTTTGTTCATATGATAATTGGTTACTCCTGGGATATGGTTTCATTAAGTAATGTTTCAGCGGAAACGCCTCATCTCCCAAAATAACAGATGTTTCAGGCAGATTGAGTTTATTTTGTTCAATAGCTTTGTAAAGTGCCGACTTTCCAAATATGCCACCATCAGAAATACTGCCATAACTTCCTACATCGATGAATGTAAAGTTGTAGTCATGATCTGCCATACACATAAGAACAATGCTGAAGGTGCCCTTGGAATTGTAGTAAAGCGAGCCTGAGTTAGACGGGCACTGAATGACGACGTGTTTTCCGTCAATACTTCCGACACAGTTTGGAAATTGCCATGTATCATTGAACCCTCTTGAAATTTCGTTCCAGTCCTCTTCACACTTAGGCACCTGCAAAATAAATAAAAAATTAGGTTTAAAGATTTTGTTTAATTTTTTTTATTGCAGGACACCGCTACCACTGAACATGAAACTGTGCAAAACGAGCTTTCTGAAACGCCAAATTACAGCGCACCGTCATCAAGCACTATACGCCACCTTTAGTTGATAATGAACTCCAAACTCCCATTATTGCCGCCTGCAAAAAGAAAAGAGTTGAGAATCGAAAAGAAAATATGGAAAATTCATTGGACAACGCTGTTGAAGTGCTCAAACAAGTAGTAAAATCTCACGAGTCTAATAATGAATTTACCCATTTTGGGCTGCATGTTGCTTCTCAGCTACAGGCACTTCCACTAAGAGAAGCTCTTAAACTGCAGTCTGATCTTCAGGCACTTATTACGACTGTCCGCATCAAGCAACTTATACAACCTTCTTATGAAGGTAGTTCTAACAGTACAAATGATGATTGTAACCCCGCCCATTCTCATGTACACGCGATGGAAATCACGCAGCCATCTACTTTTTCTAGCAGTGCTAATGAAGATTTTGAAATTCAAGGTACTGTGCAAAACACGGAATATGAGAAACATCCTCAGCCGTCACATGTTTATACATATTTTACTAGCTGGCCCGATCTTCAAGATGCTGATCAAGATCAAGAATTATGAAATGTACATACTCGTATTATATCTAATAATTATATATATATATATATATATAATATATATATATATATATATATATATATATATATATATATATATAATATACTTTTTGCATAAATTTATAAATAAAATAATAAATTTTAAATATATATATATATATAATATATAATATATATATATATATATATATATATATATATATATTATAATGGCTATACACCCCAGCGTGGGGTTAAACCGCAAATGCTTTCTAGATCCTATTTCTTAAGTGCATCAGTCTTTTTTTTTTGTTTATCTTATCTTCTTGACAATGTCTCTCCATTTTTTCCTGTCTCTAGTTTTTCCTCTCCATTCACTGACTCCTGCCCTTTGGAGGTCTTCTTCAACTTCTTGCAGCCACTTTGATCTCGGTCTTCCCCTTCTCTTTCTTCCTCCTGGATTCCATTCTATCATTGCGTATGTCACTGCCTCATCGCCTGCTCGCCAAATGTGACCTAACCATCTAACTCTGCATTGCTTTATTTTAGTTACGATGTCTTCCTTAAGTTCTTCCTTACTTTCTGCATTTGTTCTGCTTCTATATTCATTTTGCTCTGTTCTGATTGGTCCTAGTATGGTTCTCATAATCTTTCTCTCTGCAATTCTTAAGTCTTCTTCATCTTTTTTAACCATCGTCATTGTTTCCCCTGCATATAATAATATTGGTCTAATTATGGTGTTATAAATGCTCATCTTGCTTTTTTTAGTCAGTGTTTTGCTTTTAAGTAATCTTTTGTTTGCAAAATAAGCTTTATTCGCTGCTAATATTTTTTCTTTTATTTCGGATTTCCTTTCTCCGGATTTACTTATTGTAACTCCTAGGTATTTGAAGTATTCCACTTCTTCAAACTCGGAACTTCCTATTTTGATCTTTTCCTTTATTGGTTTTTTCCCTAATCTTAATATTTTTGTCTTTTCTTGATTTAATCTTAGCCCCATTACCTCCCATTTCTCTCTTATTTCTTCAAGCATTTCTTTCATTATTTTTCTGTTCTTTGCAATAATAGCAATATCATCTGCATATGCAATTATTTGACCACCTCTTGTTCTGAGATTTCCTTTATTTATATTTCGCAGTACATATTCTAATGCTAGATTAAATAGCGTTGTTGATAAGGCATCTCCTTGTTTCATCCCTTTATTTATACTGAATTCCTCTGTCTCTCCTCTTTGTGTCTTTATGCTTATTTTTGTAGTTCTCATTGTCATTTCTATTAAGTTTCTGAGTTTATGTGGAATTTTTAATTTTTTAAGTGCTGTCATTAATACGTTCCTTTTAATAGAATCAAATGCCTGTTTGAAGTCTATGAATAACATTTCCAGTTCTAATTTATACTCGTTTGCTTTTTCCATTATGTTTTATTGTGTGTATTGCATCTATTGTAGATCTTCCTTCTGTGAATCCACATTGGTACTGTCCTACTGTCTTCTTTGTGATCTTTGATAACCTCTTTTTTATTATTGATGTCAATATTTTATATGTTGTATTTAGTAATGTTATTCCTCTATAATTTTCACAGATTTGTTGGTCTCCCTTTTTATGTACTGTTATGATCTGTCCTACCTCCCAGTCACCTGGCATTTTCTCTTCTTTCCATATATTTTTCAATAGTGCCAGTATTTTTCCTCTTAGTTCCCTTCCCCCGTATTTTATTAGTTCCATATTAATTCCATCTTTACCTGGGGCTTGTCCATTTTTGCTTCTCTGTAAAACTTCATCCAATTCCTCTAATGTTGGTTCTTTTGAAATTTCGATGTCTACTTCATTTGCTTCTTCTTCGTGTACTGTTTCCTCCTCGTCATGCATTTCTTCTTCTGTTGTTTCCTCCGTCAAGAGCTCTCTGTAGTAATCTCTCCATACTTGCTTGTATTCTTGGTCCTCTATTATCACTATTCCCTCTCTATTTTTTATTCCGTTTGTTTTGCCCTTGTATTTTTTGTTTTATTCTTTAATCTTTTTGTAAAAACTTTTCGTATTTCTGTTTGTTCTTTCCTGCTCTATTTCCTGCATTTTTTTGTCTACCCATCTTCTTTTATTTTGCCTTATCACTTTCTTAGCATCCCTTCTTAATTTTTCATATTCTTCTCTGTCTTCCTCTTTATCTGTTCTTAGCCATTTATTTCTGGCTTGCACTTTTTTTCCTGTTATTTCTCTACATTCTTGGTTATACCATTCGTTTTTTGTTTTAGCCTGACTTTTACCTATCTGCATATTTGCACCTTCTTCTATTGATTTTTTGATCGTCTCCCATTCTGTGCTTATATCTTCTGCTTTATATTTCTCTTTTATTTGAACTGTTACTGCCTCTTCATATTTTTTTTCTTACTTCTTCATTACTCAATTTATTGACATTCCACTTTTTATGTTGGTTTTTTTGTTTTGTTTCAATTTTAACTTTTTGTTTTATATTGGCTGTGACCATGTAGTGGTCTGAAGTAGTGGTCTGAATCTGCACACGCACCTCTGAACGTTCTTACATCTTTTATTGACGATTGTTTTCGCTTATTAATCATTATGTGATCAATTTGACTATATGTTTTCTGATCCGGTGACCTCCATGTTACCTTATGTATTTTAGGGTGTTCAAATTTTGTCGAGCTTATTAACAAATTTGCTCTTGTTGCTAGGTTACATAGTCTTTGCCCATTGTCATTCGTGTTTTCGTGTATTGTATGCTTTCCTGCAATTTGCTGTAAAAAGTCCTCTTTTCCAATCTGGGCGTTGAGGTCTCCCAGTACAAGTATGACATCTTCTTTGGGTATTTTTTCTATCTCCTCTTCGACCTTATCATAAAAGATTTCTTTTTCGTCTGCATTGCTTGTTTCTGTGGGGGCGTATAAATTCAAGACTGATATATGAAATGGTTTGCTGTTGACTCTAACATAGGCCATCCTTTCGCATATTGGCTTGAAATTTATAATTTTCTCTCTTAGGTGACTAAGTATCATGAATCCCACGCCTTTTTGCCCTTGCTTCTTTCCTCCTGAATATAACATTGTAAAGTCTTGTTTATCAATCTGTCCCTGTCCCTCCCAGCGTAATTCTTGCAGTGCTGCAATATCTATTTTATACTTTTTACGTTCCTTTCCTATTTCTAGCATTTTTCCTGGAGTTAGCATAGTTCTTATGTTCCATGTGATTATTTTCAACTCTTTATTTTTTTTGTTCTGTTGTCTTCGTCCTTTATTTTTGTTTTCTTGTCCATTTTTCTTTATTTCACTTTTGTTGTGCCCGGGTTTATCTGCAGTTATTTCCTGTTTCTTTACCTCGTCCGTCAACGAATCATGTATCCTCTCATCCCTTGCTAGTTTTTTGAACCACCTCTATGATGGTCCTCCAGCTGGTTGGTGTTTCTATTCCATCTCCTTTCTAGACCATCTATTATAAGTTTGTTGGCTTTAATTTGGACACGTTTACCTTTCTTTATTTCATCTTTTGCTATTCTTCGTATTTCCTTCTGTATTTGTAATTCCTCTGTCGTTAGATCATTGTTTATATATATTTTTTCTTTTTTCACTTCTTTAAGTTTACTTTTGTTTTCCATAATTTTTGTTTTTTCTTCTTTGTTTGGCAATCTGACTAAACATGTTTTATCTCCTAGTTTCACTGCTTCGTCTATATTTACGGTAATATTTAGCTCTTTTGTCATAAAATTTTCTATCACTTCTTTTAGTATTCTTCTATCTCCAGTTTCTATTGCCATTCCCTGTATTATCACATTATTTTCTTTTCTTATTCTATCCAGCCTTTCAAGGCGTCCTTTTGCCTCATTCAGATCCTTTTTGATTTGTTCATTTTCTTTCCAGATTTCACTATTCTCTTGTTTTAGTTCTGCTAGTTCAGTTTTGAGTTCCCTCATTTCTTCTCTGTATTGTTTTTGTTCCGTTTTTACTTCTTTTATATCAGTTTTTAATTCTTGTAACTCCATTGTTAAATTTTTTATCATATTTAGTATTTGATCTATTTTGTTTTCATTTTTGTGACTTTTAATTGGGCTTCTTTGTACTTTTTTACTAGGACCAAATAACAGTTCCTCTTCTTCTCTATTTCTTTTCCGATTGTCATCGGATGTATTATCATCTGAATCCATATTTCTACTGCTACTACTCGCGATAGAGCCAACCTCCCCACTCAACGCGTCGAAGGAAGATAGTTCTCTCAAGTAGTAGCTTGTAGTAATTTATTTTCTCGTTTTCTTCCTGGATAAATTAATTTTCAATTAAAATAATTGTCAGTTACTTTGGAACTGTTTGATGTGGCAACGCCCACCTCTAGCTTTTAAAACTGATATATAGTGTTAATTCCTTGGGCCGGTTTTGTTTTTAGTTTTTTGTGTTGAGAGTAAATAAAATTTCCTTCGCCTTCCTAAATTTATCGAGGTTATGCACTTACCTTAAAAATATACTTTATAAAATACTTTATAAATACTTTATACTTTATAAATATACTTTTTGCATAAAAAAGTAAAAATAGTTACCTTTATGTACTCCTTTACTCCTATGCATTGTAAATGATGGCATCCAAAACTTCTGCTAGAAAATTACTAATTGTGTTTTTTGGTACTCTATATAAATACTGTAGGCTTGTCAATGAATCGCCTGTGGCAAGATAACGCAACGTTATTTCGAACTTTATTTTTGCTTGTATGGCTTCTCTCATAACTTTTTTTTCCCTTTGTATGGTGCTTGCCACCTGAAAATATGACAAAGAACATATAGCTACATTCTATATATAGTTACTAAGTAGATATCTAAATAAAGCGGTAATTTTAGGATTTTTTACTTACTTTTTCAAGAAGAAAATCAAACATTTCCATATCCATTCGTATCAAATTAAAAAAACTTTTAGGGTCTTCACACCGAAGTTCCCTTATCAGATTGTTCGAGGCACCTTGATAGTCTCTTCGGCTAATCCATTGACGAACCCACTTTTTCTTTTCTTTTCGTTTTTCTATATTTATAGA